CGGCTGCTCAGCTCGGGCTGACTCGAACCACTGTTGCTCAGAGCTCAAACTCTTGAGCGAGCTCTTAACCAACTGAGCCACTCAGCCGGCCCTTCTGAGTTTTCAAATGAAGTCAGGAATCCAGATTTTGATGCGAAAGCTCCTGATTTTTTAAATGTACCAACTAATTCAAATTGGTTTGGCATTGGTTTGTTTTCAGTTTTATGGAGAAGAGTATGGTCAGTCCACCACATACATGTTAACGAGATTCAACAGTTACTAGGATCTTGCCACACTTGTTTCTTCTTAACTGCTTCCTCCTGCTCATTTTATGCTGAATTGTTTTAAAGTAAATCTAAGATATCATGTTATTTCAGTCCTGCATACCTCATGAATCTCTTAAAAAATATGAACATAATCACAGTGTTATGTGGTTATAATCACACCTCACAAAATTAACAATTCTTAATGCCATCTAAATAATACCCAATTCATATTCAGATTTCTCCACGTCCCAAAAATATCTATTTAAAATTAATTTGTTTTATCTCTCAAGTCTCTTTAGAGCAATCCACCCTCCCTCTCTTTTTTATGTTTGCAGTTGTATTGTTGGAGTCAGTTGTCCTTAAAGAATGATCTACATTTTGGATTTGTCTGTTTGCTCCCTTGAGGTGTCATTTAACCAGTCCTGTCCCCCATATTTCTTGTAAAAGTGATCAAATGTGAAGATGTAATTAGATTCAGATTTATTATTATTATTTTTTAAGATTTTATTGGGGAATTGGTGGAGGGAACAGCGTTGGGGAATCAGGGAAGGGAAACAGACAAATTGCTGTCCTTTGGTTCTTCAGTCTAGTTGTGGAGGACATCGCTTCACTGGCCCATTTGGTGTTATGATCATTGTGCTCTTCCTGGCTGAGGCAGATCGGTCACCAGTCATTGGATGGCTGCTCACGGCAGCTCTTGCCGGCTGCCGGCTGCTCACGCTGGCTGCCGGCCACTCACCGTAGCTCACGGCAGCCCACTGCAGCTTACGCGATCGCCTGCCACACTCACGGCAGCCCAGCTCCAGGTCAAGCTGTTGTTCACCATCTTAGCTGTAGAGGGTGCAGCATCGCTGGCCCATGTGGGATCCGAACCAGCAGTCCTGCTGCCCAGAGCTCGCACTCCCAAGCCAACTCTTAACCAACTGAGCCACTCGGCCAGCCCCAGATTTATCTTTTTGGTGTGGGCACTTCATAGGTGGTTTTGTGTACTTAATGTGGCATCATCGCAGACCACACAGTACTTTTTGTGCCCCATAGTGCTGCTAAGATTGATCAGTGGGTTCAGGTGTGTATTAGTGTCTTACTGCTGCTGTAACAAATTACCACGAACTTAATGGGTTAAAACAACACACATTTATCTTACAGTTCTAGAGGTCAGAAGTCCTAAAATCAAGGTGTCAGCAGGCACACTGTGTTCCTTCTCATTTTATGAGGAGGCTCTAAAGGAGAATTCGTTTCCTTGCCTTTTTGAGCTTCTAGAGACCACCTGCATTCTTTGGCTGATGACCCCTTCCTTAGTAATGTAATAGCTGCAAATCTTTTTCTCCCATCCATCTCCCCCTCCTTTACTTCTATCATCTCATCTCCTTTTCTGATTCTCCTGCTTCCCTCTTTCCTTTATAAGGATCCTTGTGATAATCTTAATCTCAAGACCCTTATTTAATCACATCTTCAAAGTTTCTTTTGCCATGTAAAATAACGTAGTCCCAGGTTCTGGGAATTAGGATGGGGACATTTGGGGGAAGGTGCCATTACTTTGCCTACCAAGGTGGTGACAGCCTGAAGCCTCAGTTATAAAGAAAGCTTCCCATTATTTTTTCTCTTAAGAATCAATTGATGACTGTGGTGTGAATTTGTTTCATTAAGGTTGTGAAATGATTTTCTAATCCTGTTATTCCTTCCATATGTTTAGCGGGAATTATTCTTAAAGAATTCATCAGTTAAGACCATTTGGTTACCCTAAAACTTATAATTCACACTGGAAAGGCAGGAAGAATGCAAAATTCATTCCTTTTAATTTATGTTTTTCAGAGTAAGGAATTGTTACCTTTGTCATTTGCAGTGTAGTCCAAAGGGTTACAATAGTTTCAGAATAACTATTATTCTGAAATCATTTTGTTGTTGTTATTGTTTGTTTCAGTTTTTAGAGTCATTGTTATAGTCAGTTGCATTCTTTCCTTATGTTCACATTGTCTCTGGCTCCCATATTCTTTTGACACAATCCCATTAGGCTTTGATAGCTTCCCTGTTTTGTGGAACAATAAGATGGCCTAGGCTCATCTTTTGTATGTCCAGCCTCTGATCTGGAAGCAGCTATTCCTCCAGGGAGTTCT